TATATATATATATATATAACAATAATAAATTTGTGTATGATTTATATATTTAATTATTATACAAGTGATATTGTATCAAAAATACAAGCCTTCTCAGCGATGGCCATGCACATGGCACATCTGACACATGCGGAGGACAGGTCGATATGTATCGTGCCGCATGCATCTGCAATGCAGGTCCCGTACGGGATTATTTGAACTATTCCAAAACCGGTAGATCTGCAGTCGCAATGGGGATCAACGGTAATATTTGTATCCGTTAAAGGATTATAACGAATGGGGGTGGCACAAACACATTCGTCATCGCTCCGATGAATACGCGTTTTGCTGCGCTTGCTAAAGATACAGCCTTTCGAGGTAAATGCGAGTAATAGCAGAATCAGCAGTGTCGCTTTCGCAGGCATTGTCCTAATTCCGTCATATCTTCTTTGAGAGAACGGATTCAAAACAAATTCTGGTTAAATTAAATGCACTACAAACGAAACGGAGCAAAAAAATAAAATCTATTTCAAGTAATTGACAATTAAATTAGCAATTCTGATACGTTACATCATCACGGACAGCTGAAGCACGAAAACATATAATTTTTTAATAAAAAATTCATAATAGAATTCCACCATGAAAAAAATATAAACAAGAAAATAAAATTGCTTCATATAATTAGCTAATTTTGACGCATATATTATAAGAATCTTAATAATAAAATATAGATAGCTGAAGTATGGAAACGTATAATTTTCCAATAAAAAATATATACGCTGCAAAAGAAATTTTTTACAGGAAATCTAAATATAATACTCTTTGCAAAAAAAAATTGTTTTTAATAACTATTGCAAATAATTTCTCTCTCCTGAATTTAATTTAATTAAATTCACACTGAGATAAATATCATACACAATTCCTTTACTGCGGAAATATCTTTTTTTTATATTTATATATTACAAACAATAAATAATGTAATTGCTAAATAAAATCAGCTAATTACACTGTAAGAAATAAATTGCTTACATAAAATGCGTCCAATGTACAAATCCAAATGCGAATAAAAAAATACAATTATTAAATTAATTTAATCATTAATTAGCATCATAATTAAATTTTAAATTAATTAAATTAAATATTAAATTAAATATTAAATTAATTTTAATGCCAAAAAAAGATAAAGAACAATATATATTAGAAATTTTATCCTAAAGCAATCCTGCCGGTCGAGTTAAATTAATCAAAATTTGCTCAGAATCACCCAAACTTTTACCAAAGTAAATTAATTTTAATCTTAGTTTAACTTACTTTTTGTCTTTTTCTAATTATAAAAATTAAAAAAGAAGAGTAAATTCAATCAAGATCAAAGTTAATCTATAGTAGTAGAAATGGACAATAAAGAAGCTTGTGAGAAAATTTTTAATGCGCGGCAGTATTTAAACAAGAGCAGTGCAGCCAACACGAAACCAGCAGCAGTGCAGTCAACTCGTCAAAAATCAAAACGAATAATCTCGTAACTATTCGTCATAACCTCCTTGATGTTTATGCATCCTTCGCATCTCGAGAGAATTGCAAAGGGATTATCTTGACGCAATTGGACGCAACAACGATGCTGGCACGTCGGTTACTGTATAAGAAGCAATTGTGGCATGCCTCGTGCGTTTGCGTGCCTGTCCGTCAGACGCAAAACCAGCGCGTCAACCAACATGTACTGGATATGCTTAACCTCGAAATTCGGCTACCGGCCCATCTCAAGAAGCAGCCGCAACGCAAGCCATTCGCCAAAAATCTGTTCCTCGCCACGTTCGATCACGAGTTCATGTACTATTCCGAGCCGCAAACCAAGGACAGGCATCAGCGTTTCTTCGAATGGCTCCAGCCCATCGAGAAGTATATGTCGGAGTGTCTGGAGGATCCGCAAAGCGTCCAGAAAGAAGACATTCTGGCTCATCTAAAAGAGTTAGGTGTCTTTCGGGCGTGCGTGGACGAGCAGCATCTCGGGCTGAACCTAAACCATTCAGAATCGGCCAAGCTAGTAGAAGTACTCAGCTGCTTCCCTTGGCTGGGATGTTACATGATCAAGAACTACATTGTACCTGTTCAAATCATCTCTATGCTGGCTTCAGAAAAGCAGAAAGCCAAGTATTTACCAAGGATAGCGGCTGGAGAGCTCATTCCCACAGTGTGCTTCACTGAACCTGGAAGCGGAATAAATATATATAACATCATCAGTACAGCTGTAAATTCGGAAAGTGACACACACTGGTCATTAAATGGCGAGAAGACGTTTGTAGTCAATGGGCACGACGCCAATCTATTTCTCGTCTTCTGTCACTGTGGCCATCGCCGTACAATCAGTGATACTGAGGGTTTTCTATCTATACTTCTAGTGGAACGTGATTTCGGAGGTGTTACAATAAAGGATGTTAAGAATCTTGTTGGTCTTCGAAACAGTCCGGTCAGTACAGTTATTTTTAAAGATACCGAAGTTCCAAAGGAGAATCTTCTGGGTGATCTGAAAATTGGATCGAGTATACTAGTAGACATACTCTCTCCTGGAAACAGAAACCTTGCTCCGCAAGCAGTAGGCACATTGAAGGCATTTACAAAAATGTTGACGAGGCACGTATTGCAGAGGAAACATTTAGATAAAAACATGCATGAGTATGAAAGCGTTCAAGAGATAATAGGTAAGATGGCGAGTACTCTATATGGCATGGAGAGTATGTTGTATTATACCACTGGCATAATGGACACATTTGAGAATCAGGATTGCACACTCGAGAAAGCCATGGTGGAGATATATTGTACTAGCGAGTGCGTCGCACGTATTTACGAAGGCCTGCAACTTATTGGATCGCAGAGTTACCTGAGGGAGAATCCTTACATACGAATTTTCGAAGATGCATTGTCATATACCCTGTTCGATGGATATAATATCGATTGCAACATATATATAGCTCTAGTTGGTTTACAACACACAGGCAAAAATTTACGCGATCACATATTTAAGTTACGAAATCCCTATATCTTTCCCGAGTATATATTTAAATGGATCATGGGTAAGGAATATCGAGTACAACTTAAACTTGCTGACCATTTGCATCCGTCTTTCGCATCAGGTAGCATACAACTGGAGAAGTGTATCACCAGATTGCAGACCGTCTCGATACTACTGTTAGAACGCCATGGCACAAATATATCCGAACGACAAATGGAACTGCGTCGAGTTGGTGAATTAGCAACGAGAACATTCGCTCTGATTACTATTCTTTCGCGCGCTTCCAGGGCGTATTGTATTGGCTTGAGAAACCACAATCAGGATAAGCACCTGGCCGACAGTTTTGCAATTCTGTCCATAGACAGAGTGGAGACTCTTGCACAGGAGATTGTATCAGGAGAGTGGAACAATGGTGATAAGTTCAACAAAGAAATTGCCGAACTTATGTACAGTAAAAAAAATTATTTCGCCGAACATCCGTTAAACAGAACCTATTAAATATTTGATAAATTTAGTTTATACACTATATATATATGTGTATGTATAATAGAAAGGAAGATAAAACAAATTAATTCTTAAAACACATTTGCTTAATGTGACCACTGTATTTAAGTAGCATTCGCTAGTCGTACGTTTTTTAATCTAAGGTATTGATTTATCTGTAAATTAGTTTCAATCACTCTACTGTTTTTTTTATTATATAATTAAGATAATCATTGTAAGTAAACTGTAAAAATGTACAATACATATGAATTCGCTCCAAGAAGGAATATACATCGTTTTCCATCAAGGTTTCTGTATTTATATGTCGGTAGCAATTGTACAGTTGTATCTTACACTGTACTTATATATACTAAGATCGAGATGAAAAGTAAAATAAATGCTCTTACTCTAAACTCTCTTCTATCAGACATTCCTAAAATCTTTCTTTTTCAATTGCGAATCACATGTCGCTTAATGTAGCTTGAGATACGTATCTCTGCAATGTCTTTATCAACTCTATTATCAACCATCGCTCGCTACATAGGACTTTTGATGTGTACATGAAGAGGTGGACGGTATTCTTCTACAGACGTAACATGACTAGTCGTCCTAGACGTGTAAATATGAAATTCTATATAGTATAGGATCACTGGAAGAACCTTAGCTTCACTCGTTCAACTTTTCTTATTAATATTTTACAACTATAGTCTTTCAGCTTGAACAACGACATGCTCTTCTCGATATGAATCGGTCGCAGACCAACAGCTTCTAACGCAAGTGTATATTAAAACAGTGCCAAATTCGATTTGAAAATTTCGATCGCTTCTTGGATTTAATATTAATTTTGGTATGATCGTCGGTAAAACTTGCAGCTCAAAAGTCATCTCGTCGCCACAATGCCGACATTTACCGATACAACCGCTTAGCGGATATAACAGTAATGGTATAGAATTGTCCCTTGAATAGCTGAAAAATAAAAGTCATCATATACCTATATAAAAATAAAATAAATACAAAAAAATATATGTATATATTATATATTTTATTTTACACACACAAATGTACATAAAGTGGAGAATAAAATATCATTAAAAATTTTATATATATTATATATATTTAAAAATTTACCGTAACAGCTGCCCAGGATTTCTCTGTATTCTGCAAAGGAAGTTGTGGAACATCTCATCACCATGTTTAGGAATGCTTTTCTCATACTTTTCCACGTCTGTTTCGATGGTTTTAGGATTGCCGGAATCTGGCGTAAACTTAGTCGATGCGTCCGGATTACTATGCTGATATTCGACCAATAAATCTCGAACGTGTTGAGACACATCTATACTGCAATCCTCCTCGTCAACCGAGAGAAATATTTCCACGAACGAACATTTGGTTTCCGCATTCGTGATTTGCAGTGGCAATGGAGTTACTTCGTGCAGTAAACTAATTAAATCACATTGTGGTCGCGTTGGAGTGTCAATGCATACGACTTCACTCTCATCTCCATCGATTTCTGCTGAAGCTTGAGGAGAATCTAAACGACCTACAGCACCTCCGCTAATTGGAGAGTCTACGCTGGCTGGACTGAAACGTTCGAAAAAGAGATATACATACAGCTACTATTATTCATAAATAAAATTGATTTTAATATACACGAACCTATTTGCATTTGGATCATCCACGCGCAGTACAGACAATTCCTCTCGTATATCCTGATCTATTTCTTTACGCAGAGAAAAGTGAAATTGTAACGGATCATTTTCTAACATATTATTCCCATTTTGTTCCGATGCATTATCATTTACACTATCTCCCCAATCGTCTGCATCAGACAACCAAGCTGTCGTAGATGGTACATTAACACTTCCAGAATCGGGCATAGTCTTAGTTTCATCCTCTAGATGCTGTATTCTCAAGCATGTCCAGCTTTCATTTTGATTCCAGCAATTTGAGTTGATACATGCAAATATATATAAAGTCCGATGATACTTTGAGTTATCTAACGGAGCATATAATTGGAGTGCCAAGAGTTGATATAAGCCACAGAGTCTACATTGTGGCGATGATAATGTATTCTTTCCATAACAGTTCTAGGAAACAAATATTACATATATTATAATTATTATATATTATAATTATATATTATAATTATTACTTGTATAATTATATACATCAAGCAAAATAATGACATTTATTAAATAAAATATTAATGGTATTGTTTAAACTATAATCAACATTCGAAAAATGTATATTAAATATTTTTCCATGACAGAAATATCTCATATATCATATGTATAATTATTTATTCATGTATCTATATAATATTTCATGTATTTATATAAATATCATACTTTATTAAATTATAACATTCTCCTAAATGAATGATATCGCAAATTGACCTAATAAAATATTAGTAATCGCGATGGAGGAAACGGCGATTCCTGGAAGGTGAGTCTATCGTTCCCTACTCACCGGATGTCCGCCGATCTTGTTCGTCGTAAAGTTGAGCAAGGACCGGTGCTTGTCTGTAACATACTCGTCCTCGTATCCCAGATATATCTTCGTACAATTATCGCAAGCCATTTAAGTCATTCGATCGTAGCTCTACATTGGAAGACCACGGACGTGGAGCGAGGAACACCTGTACTCTTTCCCGTTTTACTTACGACCGGGACAGCTGACACGCATCAGTAACGCTCGACGCGTGCGCCTTTGTCGGCTCGCACGTCTCCCTTATCGATTTTTTTGAGGCTGCCAGCAGCAGTCGGACATCACTAGAATATTCTCGCTTATGATTTGAAAGAAACTATCGTTTTCTTATTATTGTCTTAGAACAGATACTGTCAATCTGGGATTATCCTGGAATACACGTGCACATGTCATAATAAAAAAAAACCTGTTCCTCTTACTTTGCACCTCCTGTAGTTAAAGCGAAACAGATATAGATTCCGATAACGAAGATAGAAAGAGAAAAGAAAGAAACGCAGTGCAGCAAGCGCAGTCCAAACAAAGTACAGATCTATAGTTAGCTTTTTCTTCTACACATTTATATTTAACATTTCTTTTTTTTTTAAAGATAAAAGATTTTTTTTTAAAGAAAAAAGATAAATTTACATACGTTTTGCAAAACTAAAGAGAATATTATATGTTTAAACTTGGCATTTCTCTGCATTTGCAATATTCTCTCTCTCTCTCTCTCTCTCTCTCTCTCTCACTCACTCACTCACTCACTCATTCTCTGTCAGAAAGAAGGCAAAATGAATATCAAATTGATACAAGTAATAGATTTTATTTTATAAATTCATTAAGTAAAAAAAATGAAAGTTACCAATATGTTTGTTTATCGCTAAATATCATTTTTACTATTTTCTGACTAATCAGTCTCATAGTATGAGTAGGCACAACAGATGTGTATAAAACACAAAGTATATTGTCACTATGTTTCACAGCATGACATTTGTGATATTCGGAACACAAGTATGTTTCTTTAGCCCCGATAAATTTCCAGGTACTCGTGGTTAATTTTGCATCGTTACTCTCTTCATGTTCGATTGACAGCGCGAATGTTTCGACCGCTTGATGATAAAACGTTCGCAAAATATCTAATCTGTGCGATCCCGTCACGCGATTTTTCGCGCATTGAGAGTTTTTACCAAGTACGAATTTTTCTATCTTGTAATTTGCCAGTAGAAATCTGAAAGATTCGTAGAATAGTATAATAATCAATCACATAAAATAGTTGAACAGATAAATAACTTTTTTTTATTCCAGTTACCCAAGTGTTTCACTATCTAAAGAGACCGACATAGGTAGGTTTCGTGGATAACACTGTTCAACAGTACATAATGCATCCATATTGCTCTTCCAACATTGCATAGCATATCTCTCAATTTCTGTTAATTCTGGATTTGGTCCACATAATGCCAGCACTTCTACGTGATTAATTAGAGTTACAGATACCAATCTAAAAGCTACCTAAACAAATCGAAGTTATAGTTAAAGTTATATATAATTAGTATATAGTTAAAGTTAAATAGTTATATTTATAAATTTTATATATAATTATTCACATATACTTTTAAGTTTATTTTTTAATTTTAGAAAATATAAAAATATATGCACACATTTCCTTAAAAATACTTACGTTCGAACTTTTACGAGGTAAAAACACTGGAATGTCTCGCGTGGTACAAATACTCTCTGAAGCAATTGCTATTGTTAATAATTTTCTTTCCACAGGATCCAATGACCACCAGCCTTCTGTAGCAGCTGCTACACAACCATGCACCAAAACGCATCCATACATCGAGTCCAGACATTCCATAAATCCCTCTAAACAAGTCTTGAATACGTATTTTGAGTATCATATGTAATTTTGCTGTAGCTGCAGTTTAAAACTAATTGTCTGAATAGTACACCATTATATCGATAATTTTTTTCGAACTATTGTCCAAGTGCAAAAAATTGTAGTTTCATGCATATATTATTGCATTGATAGTTAATTTGAATAATTATGAAACTATCAGTGTCAGCATGTTATATGTGAATGAAAAAATGTTTCAAATAAAAATTTATAGGGTGAAAAGGATCATTAGATAACTTACTTAGATTTTGGATCCGAGGCCTACTTCGGATCCAAATAAGTTTTGCCTTCACTGATTAGAATGTGTTTCGAAATCAGAACTTTTAGTACTATTTTTGAAAGAAGATTCAGCGAAAAATTACCACAAAAAATTTTATTTTTTTCTAATAAAATACAAATTTGCAATAAAATATAAGTGTTTCTATAAAAAAAAAAATTAATCTGAGTCTTATTGAATCCAAAGTGAGTCCAAAATCTAAATAGCCCTTATTTTCCCTCTTCAAATCCTACAACTTTTATTTGAAACATTTTTTTCGGAAATGCATTATTTTTTGAGATGTTGATGTCTAAAATAGAACGCCTTGTATATTAGTGCAATGTTCAAACAATTAGTTTCATGATTGTAGAGTAAGATGGCATAATTTCAAATGTAATTCTGAACAAAATAAAATTTGAATTAAATTTTCGAGATTCAAGTATGATAACTCTTTCATTATGTGGAAAGGACTAAAGGATGCCGAAAAAAACTTGAACTTTGAAAATCAGATTTAAATTGTGTCATCTAATACCATGTTCAAAATTATACCATCTTACTCTATGCAAGAAGTACCTGAAGCAAATGATTTTCCAAAGATATGATGCATTCTGTCATGTTAATCATATCGGTTTTCGTAGAAATTTTATCCCCTATGTCCAAGCAGTCCATTAGTTTATCAATAATAGGACTGCAAAGACGCATGTCTTTCTTGAGTCTTTCTATATTTTTAGTATTCTTTATCTCATCAATACCAGTGAAGAGAATCATTGCGCCAAAAGTGGCGTCCAAAAACTTGTCCAGCACATATTTTGTTACTCCACTCGCAATTGCTATTAGTATGATACATCGTTCGAATTCTTTCCATGCTACTGTCACGTCAGGCAAATCCGTACTCAGTAGAGTGATGTCCTGTGATTTCAAAAACATGTGAACTCCATTGAGGGATGCGATTTTTGAAAACGTCATCTGCAAATTATTATCAAATCTAAGACATCTAAATAAAACAATAAAATGAAGGCTTGTAAAGCATAAAAGCAAAAATACAAGCAAAGAAGGTGTAAATATAAATATAATTTATCCACTTATAAACGAATACTTGAAATTAATTAACTAGAATATTCAAAAAGTATCCGGTATTATTCGGTTTACACTTTATTACTATCCGATTGGATAGTCGGATATCATTAGTATCCGGAAATATATCCCATTGAAATTTTATATCATTAAATTGTTGAGTTTTTATTATAGAAATGTTCTATAAATAAGTATGTGTATTCATAATGCTATAATATCTTATATATTGTTGCAAAATTACAATTTTTTCTCTACAGTTATCATCTGTATTGATACAGTCCTTTTTGTTCCCTTTTTTTTTTCTTACTGAGCTTTTTTTTTTTAAAGACGTCCTGGAATCTAATTGGAAAATATCGGATATTCTATGTTCTTTTTGGATATCCAGTACTCGTATTCGGTGCATCCCTAGTTAAAACGTACCATTGTCTACCATTCATGAGTAAATTATTTATATTTACGAATATTATATATAATATTATTAAGTGTGGGAAAAAGTTCGTGGCGTTTTTTTAATTCTAATGGGAAAAACGCCATTTTCCCACACCTAATATTTATTCTCTATATGCATACCGTGTTACTATCTCCCTTTTGGCGTGAAAACAGAGGAATTCCTCCAGAAGAAGTCAAGCACATAACGTGTGCCGACATTCTCAAGTATTGTGTTGAAAATCGAGTTTGATACTGTAAGTATTGTTCTCGAGTGCTTTAAGGCTACAAAAATCAATGTTCTAGACTTAAAAATCAATGATCCAATCAACGATTATGTACTCTCTCATGATGTCCAGCAGAAAATATTGTATATAATTAATATCGTTATATTTTGAATAAATGAATAAATTTTTGTTTTTTTTCTAATATTCTATTTTTTCATATTTTTATTGGCAAATTACAAAATAAAAAGATTTGTATTTGGCAAGAGCTCTTAGTGCACAAAAAATTGAATTACAAGCTACATATTGGTATTCTAAGAATTTTCGTGACATTACTTAGAACTGAGTCTGACAGTTGATTAGCTATTTGATGAAAAATTTATGACTATTTTCCATAGTTTAGAACAATTCAGGTTCAATTCACCTGAGTGTCTTCAATCATTTATTAGATATTGACCAAATTATTTGGCACAAAGCTTAATTTTCTCACCTTTTCATTAAGATTTTGTCAAATAATTTTATTAAGCTTAAACTAATTTCTTTCAAGGAGTTTGACACAAAACTTTTTCCTTTCCTCCTAAATAATTTCATATATTACTGCTTCTCTCAGCAAACTGAGACTTAACTTTCTATAGTTTCCGTATTTTTAACAATGCTTCTTCCTTTAATCGATTGCCATATAAAAAATAAAGATTTAAAAAGCGGCAATCATTTAACATAAAACTTGCAATGACAATTATTTGATAACTTTTGTTTCCTTTTTCTTTAAAATAATTTTATTAAGCTTCTTGGAGTAAACTTAGAATAACTAATAAATAAAATATGTTTCCACTTGTTATTTCTTTCTTAGTCCATTATCATTTTACGAATGCAAACAATCAAGAAAAACTAAATAAAGGAAATAAACTAAATCAGGTGATAAGACAACCAAACAGTTTGTTGTTCGGTTTTATTTTTTTTTTTTCACTGATAGTCATGATTCAAAAATAGCTAGTCGCGAATATGTACCATTCATTTCATTCATCTGTAATCTTGGGCTGTGTTCTACTTCGGGTATATCCACACAAATTTTCATAGCGCATAAGCGTATGCATAAAGAAAACTATCCAATCGCATTTATTCTGTAGACGCACATAAAATGTGTCCGTTTATACAGCTATGCAAGTTGTGTGGATATACCCTTCACAATGCTCGTGAAATCATGGTTATGTTCCAAAATTGACTGCCAGTACTAAAAATCTATAGTGCACGTAATGTAAATTGTAGCATTTTCAGTGCTGGCAGTAAATTTAGAACACAGCCCATCCTTGGCCTAGTTTCCATCGAAGATTTAATCCGAATCCGAAAAGAATGTAAGGAACTCCGCATAATAAAAGGAATAGGGAACAGAGAACAGAGAATAAGAATTTTAATTTATCAGAAATCATGTATTGTTTGAATACACAGTTTCTGATAGATTATGAAATTCTTATTCTTTATTCTCTGGGTACTATCAACGCGATATTGCAAACGCTTTGAAGCGTTTTTTAGTTGGTAAATTTGTAAAATTCTTTCTTCTAATTGGTCCATTAAATACTTCAAAGTATTTGTGACGAGATTTTGACCACAGCCTCTATTCCCTGTTCCTTTTATTGTGCGGAGTCCCTTATCCCCACCCAATCGAACGACAGGGGAATGTTCGACTGTAGTTGGTTGGTTCTTACATTTTAATTCGGATTAAACCTTCGGAAACTAGGCCCTTATCGTTTATTAAATGTTAAACAAGGTCAAATGATGCTCGCGAGTAAATGGAACGCAGCCCTAGTTGATTTTAATCGTTTCAAGCTTGCGATTGGCTGATCCGACTGTCTGAAACATGGCAGAATTAGGTTGCGTCAAAATCTCACTATAAATGCTTTGTAAATGATTTGAAGCGTTTGGTTGACCAATTAGAAAAAAGAATTTTACAAATTGACAATCAAAAATTGCTTTAAAGTATTTGTAGCATTGCATTGACCGTATCCTTAATTTCATGGTCTGAAACACAGTATAACTAAGGGACACTCTGTGTCGGCAGCTTTGATCTCTACATCTAATCATGTGAGCATCCATGTTAACGTTTGAAAAATCCAGGACCGAAGAGGATATAATGCCCCTTAAGTAATAATGTAATTCTATACTAAAAAATTTTACAAAAATACTAACTAATGAACAAAATTCATTCGAAAATAATAAGAACTAGTAAATAAATCAAATTTATTAAGTAATTATTATTAAGTAATAATTATGAAACAAACATTTTTATTTAGTTATTTCTCGTAAAAAAATATCAAAAATATAAATTAATAATATAAATTTTACATAAATATAGATATAAAATAAAAAAAATATTATATTTGTGGTTTTACCTAATTAAACATAATTATAAAAGTATATTAATAAATAATTATATTGTATATTGTATATTGTATTATGTATATTTTTAGAAATATTTATGGCGCATCTCTTAAATTGTCTTCTTTTGCGGATATCTGCTCACGGGATATGTACGTTCGTTATCTTGCATTTTATTGGATCCGGCCCAAAACAAAAGTTGCAGCTACACCTGCGCGAACACGCATTTTTTCGGTGAGTGTCTCTACTGGTCTACTGTGGTCTAAAACATCCTGAAATTCGTTAATGATTTCCGCTCTATCGTTCCTCGTCCAGCGGCGGCGGCGGTAACGACTTTCGGCGTCTGGGTTGGAGACCGCGGACACGGCCGACATGGTTTTCTGCGCTGTGAACCCCGGTGGATCCGCTCTAATCGATTGCGCGGTCGCAAACAGCGTTCTCATTTGAAGAATCAACCGATACGTCTCCTTCCTATCCGTCACCCCCGTCGGTCACCGCGGCGATCACGCCGATCGGCGACGAGAGAGATCTATCAAGAGGCCAGCAGCGACAAGTGAGTAATACCGCTGGACCAAAAAGCGAATAAATTTTCGAACTCGTTGGCGCGTAAACCCATTCATCGCGCTGTTTACTCTATTCCGCCGACGCATTTTCGCGTGTCATCCTTGCCATACAAACTTACGCGAATCTTTCCTGCCTATGATAGGAATCTACCTTCTGATCCAGGATGTCTGGCATCTCGCTTCTTTGACCGCCGCACGTCTTGCCGTCGAAGACAAAAATACCGTTATGGCCGCGTTGTTGTGACCACTTATTTATCATTTGCCTCTCGATTATTTATTTGACCTCGTCTCGACGGGATTGCGCGGTCAAATAAAGTCGCACGCGCGAGGATGATTGGCACCTGCTTCGAAAAAGCTTGAAGCATCGATCTTTATTGAATTACATGAGATTCGTATTGTTATGGAGACAAAGACCAATTCACTGTGGCTTCTATCAGAGAGAAGCCTAAGAGATTCTCGTAGGATAATGTCCACGTTTTTCTCTTCCATAGTATTATGTGGATTAGACAAGAACAATTAAAGTTGATTATTCATCCTTATCTAATAGTATGGAAGAGAACTGTGAAAACATGGACATTATCTTACGAGGTTTGGCACACGAAAAAGGATGGGATATCTTCTTTTAACTTTCTCTCTACTTGTACAAAGAACATGTGAACATAATTATATGTATTCTTAATTGTTCCTATCTGATTATCCGAGCTTGTTTTGTTACTCTATTTGGCACAAAAGCAATATTTTACCTGCCCATTATTTCGAATGTTTGAATAACATTATTAGTAATACAATAATTAATTTTAACGAATTATAAAAATTATAATTTGATTGAAAATTTCATTATTAGAAATTCATTGTTTCAAAAAGATTCAAAAATTATTTCAAGTAAAAAAATCCACTTGACATTAACTAACAATAACATTACTTTTTATAAACTGCCCAAATTTCTTGGGTAGTTTATTTTTTCTCTTTTGTTCTCCAATTGGAGAGATGAATGATGCAAAAAGTTCAGTAACATTCATTCCAATCTTCAGTTAATAACAGTCGAGAAAAAAGAACAGGCTTGTTGACATTGAATTAGTGTTAATTGATGTAGTTGCTGAATTTTATAATCATTTTTTTTTTACAATCACAGACTTAATAATGACAGATGTAATGGTATGCAATATGTATTACATTACATTTATATTGTTGAATATGAAATTATAACATTGTTATGTTATTATTAAGTTTGATTTTATCAGTGTAAAATTAACCTTAATTTCGATTTAACTGTATCTTTTTCTAAATCTTCTCTTTTCCAATTCTAATACATTGAACTGAAATTAGAGACCCTATGACTACGTTCAGCAGAAAAAGCAGCTTTGCAATTGTTAGATTTTTTAACATAATTTATTTATACATTTAGATCCAGTAAAGAACTAAGACCAATCATATTAAAGAGTTTTATGACAGTTGCAACACCGCTTTTTTTGTTGAACATACTCTATAACAATCTGACCACTAAACAACAAATTTGACATTGGCACAATTGGCACATCGTTTTTGTCAGTTGGAAATTTTTGTTACAAGTTAGAATACCTAGAATGAATAAGATAGTAAAAAAATTGTGTGTGTGTGTGTGTGTGTGTGTGTGTGTGTGTGTGTGTGTGTGTGTGTGTGTGTGTGTCTCACTCTTATTTTGACAAAATTGGCAGTAGCCAGACTCTGTTGTAGGGTTTTATATTTATAGTATTAGGTTTATTCGTGTCACATACACCTACTTTCTCCAATCGTAGCTCCTACTCATTCATTCAAACGCGCTCGTTAAAGTAGAAGCTGTTGTAGAAACATGTTGGAGCATGTTGAAGTATGCGATGCAAACAAATTTCTTGTAACCAGTCTTAGCGAATCCGAAATTCATGGGGAAAATAAGAAAAGTCTTTAACTAAAATTAAAGTTAATCTTACATTGATAAAACTGGGCCTAGTTAGTAAACAGTTACTAACTATTCTATTTTTTTTTTAGCAGCAAGATGACACCAGAAGGATATACACGCGTTTATGTGGGCGGGTTGAATGAGAGCATCAAGAAGGAAGATCTACAAATGGAGTTTGAAAAGTATGGCAAGTTGAACAAGGTGTGGGTAGCGTTTAATCCACCGGGCTTCGCTTTCATCGAATTCTTCAACATGAACGAGGCCGAATTGGCTTGCTGCAACATGAACGGCATGGAGATTATGGGTGCAAAATTGAGAGTGGAGATTTCCCGGGGTAGGGGCCGTGGGGGCGGTAGGGGCGGTGGCGCGGGTGGTTTCAGAGGAAATCGCGGGGTTGGCAGTAGGGACTTTGGCTCTCGGGGCGGCACTACTGCGGGTTACAGAGGCAGTACTTACGCAGATTATGGAGGCAGCTATTATACAGGCAGGGGTGGCGCAAGTAGGGGCAGAGGTCGTTATGGAGAAGACTATATGTACAATCGCAGCAGCGGGTATGTTACGCGAGACGGATATACACAGGATGTCTACGGTGGTAGTAGCGGGGACACTGGCGCCGACTACTACACCGGGAAGGATACAAGCACAGCGAGGTATCGAAGCCGCTCTCCCGCCGGCCGTGGCAGGTATTGACGAGAACCCATCTAAATTGATATTGAACTCGTGTCACGTTTATTAGCAAGTTCTTTTAGCTCAAACGTAACAATCTTGTGGGAGCTAGGAAAGTACGATCAGAATTCCATTAGACTATAATCAGGGATGAGATTACTTTTTATAATAAACGATTTGGTGATGACGTTGCAATTTTTTATGACTGATAACTAACACAACTTTTACACAACTAAAATTG